GCATTTAGAAATTCTGACCGAAATTCGATGATGTTTATGTTTCTTATCTGTATTACTTTTGAACATGTTTTATTTCACAAACAATTTTTAAGGTATTGAAGTTGTGAAAAATTGAATCAGCAGATTTCAATTTTTTTGAAAGGTACTCGTTGCCAAATTTAATTGAATTTTTTTTAAATTTTTTTTTGAGAATTCGTGGATTGCACGTTTCAACCGGTTCTTTTCCAAGTGTTTATTATTTTATCCTGCAAAATGGATACCGAACGTAAAGAGTGTTAACACACATTTTATTAAACTTTTGTGATTTTAGATTTGTTTTGTTTTAGTACTTGGACCGAAATTTGATTAAATACAGTCATTTTATTACTAGACAACGTGTGTGTACGTGTTCCAAATACTTTTGAGGATTTTTCTGTGGGAAGTAGCGCAATGATAGCTGCTAACGAAATTTAGGTTGATTTTTGTTCTACAATTTTAAACGTCTATTATTTTATTTATTTTTAAAAAAAAATCAGTCCACGTGAAGAAAATTATTTTGAAATTAAAAGTATTTTTTGGAGTTTAAAGTTTTCTAACTTATGTTCCTAGAGTGAAATTTTTATGTATAGCTTTAGAGCATTATTTTGACTTAGCAACTATGTTTTTTAAATTTAACTCCTGTATTGAATTCGTTTTAAAGTTTAAGGGTTCTTATGAGAAGATCTAGAAATTTTTCCAGGAGGCTTTTTTTTATATTTTGCCAGTGTTGTCAATTTTTTTCTCCTCTCTATGCTTTATGTCTTTGAAATTGTCACCACGTTTTGAAGGATTTTTTCGGATGTCGTGCGATTTAGTAGGTTTCATTTATTTTTGTTGTTGGGAGAGCAAATTTTTTTTTGTGTGTCGAACTGGTGCGATTGAGTTTGGCGAAAATTTTATGCCATGCGCCAGCGGCTATTCTTGGTTGTAAAATGTATTGCAGATCCAACGTAGAAATGAACCTCAAATTTTTAAATTCGCAAATTTTGAAATGACATTTACAGATATTTTTTAATCAGTTTCTTTTAAGTCCGTACCATTCTGTTCTTTATATTTGATTTTAGTCTGAGAAATAAGTATCCTGAATAGTAAGTTCTGGATGGATTTCAGTAGGGTTTAGGGTTTACCTACAAAGTCTTGGAATGTTGTCCTCGGTGAAGGTTTATTTGGAATTACCGCTTTGTGGAATCTTCAATGACCCTGACAGATCTGAGAAGTTTGATTGTGGTACTTTGGTTCGGTGGATTCCGACGAAGTTACTAAGCAATTGGAAATTCCAGTTGTAATTCCAGTGTCTCAACTCATTTTTGTGTAGTTTGGGAGTCCGATTTTTTTTGTGTGGAATTGGCCACCTTATGGATTGCTAGGTTCATGGATTTGACTAGCTAAGGTGTATTGTCCAATCTCCCGTATTTGAGGACTCTGCAAACAGGTTTTCGAGTTGAGCTATGTTTGGTTGCTGTTAAGTATTTGCGAAACCCCAATCACCATGATTTGTTGTTTACATGGTTCACAGAGATTCTTTCTCACAAATGAAGCCGGACACATGAAAGACTAAAACCATTTAGAATAAACTATTTCAGTAAGGATTAAGTACTTTAAGTCATCATTTAAAACTCCGACCAGCTGTTGAGTTTCTAAATTATGTAACAATCCATTTTCTTCCATTTTTATGCAAATGAACTGCTCTCTTTTATGTTTCACAGAACGTTTTGTAAACTTCCCTCCTAGGAAAATTTTCTAGCCCGCATTTTTTTTACCCTAATTATTTTCATTTTAATTCCTGGAAAAGTCAGGTGGATTCCTTTTGAATTGTTTCAGGTTTGCCCTAAAATTAGTTGTCAAACCCAAATATGGTTATGTATTGTACATTTTTAAGCTTTCATTCAGCAGTAAGATGCTGCCTCATGTGCTTTCATCCATTTTCCAGCTCTTTTCCCGATTTCCGAAGGGGAGGAGATCTGTAACAGGGAAATTTTCCCCCGTTTTTAAGTTTATAGATTGTCGAAAAAAAAAAACTAGGAATAACTCCCGAGCGACCACGCTTGGCATCGCCGCGCCTGCGCCGACGAACCAAGGAAGAAATCAGCTGACGCTCGGCGTTCATCCGAGCACCGCGACGCGCCAACAGGGAGCGCTGCGGCAATTCTGTAAATTTTGAAATATTTTTCATTAATTTAAAATTTTAAAAACAAATTGTATTTTAATTTTAACTATATAGTTCGATAAAAGAAGTCGAGGCAAAGCCAACGATGTAAATTTCATATTTTTTTTTATATATTGTATGCTCACAAAATTGAACGGAACTCGAGCACTTGCTTTTTTTTGAAATTTGTAAATTGGTGGCCTCCCGACTAGACCCATCAATCGGGGGGGACGTTCCGATCCAGCAGACTATTAAAGCGAGATATATAGTACGTCGATCGAGGTGTGGCGAGGTGAGCCTGCATTTCTCCTCTTACTTATCGATTCTGGCTTGTGTGTCTGCGGTTGGAGCAAATAGGCGGTACGGTGGATAAAGCTTTACCGAAAATTTGCTCCAGCTTTGGACCTCTTGGGTTTCGGTTGCGTGGGACGTGGTGCCCGAGCTGAGGTGCATTACCCCTGCAAACGTGATCCAAGAGTAGCGGCCTTTCCTCGGTGGAAAGCGCGGAGCGAGGTGCGCGAGTTGAGCTGCATCTCTCTGCGAGTTTTACTGAGAAAAGTAGTAGATCTTAGATTTGGTTGGTAAAATCTTAGAGATGCATTTTAATTTACCTTCCGAACCATTTCCCCTCGAGTTTCGATCAGAATGCTTGTAAAATTCTAAGAATTAATAATATGTGGAAATTATTGCTAAATCTCAATTTAAATAAATACTTGTAAGTTGGAAAACACGCTTTCAACCATTAACGCAAGTAGTGAAGTAGTGGTGCGCGAGTTGAGCAGCATCAGACGGAACTCTACTAAATTCCCTTTCCAGTTAAAATTTTCTCTCTCTCTCTCAATTTCGATTTCACTCGTTATTATTTTTTCTATGGCGCCCGAATCCAGGCATCCCACTGAAGTTATCCGGCACCTCAAGTAACGTTGGCATATCTTATACCAGAGGACGTATGTGCCTCTGATGTCCTGGACCTGCTTCGCAGTGAAGGGGGATTTGCCTCGTTACACCCCCCTCCCCTGGATGTGGCCCAAACTTTGCTCAGATGTTGTACTAAGTGTCCCCGATGCTTCGGCAAAATTTCAGCCCCCTCGGATAATTAGGGGGGAATGGGCAGAGGGGCAAAGTTGCAATTTTTTTAAAACTTCAAAAATCGATATCTCGCGAACGGTTTGAGTGTAAGTGTTGCGGTTTGCGCTAAAAAACGTCAACAAATATTATCTACAAGAATATGAATGCTGTTTGCAAGGTTGCGTAATTTATCGCGGTCATAAATCGATTTTTTCGATTTTGAAGGTTCGACTTTTTTTCGTTTTTCGTCTCTCCTCTCTTTGGAATCGTTGCTACGTGAATAAAAACCTGTTGAGGTGATTTTCCATGAAATTTTGCATCTCTTACTTTATGTTTGATCTTGGGGAAACGGTTCGTTCGTGAGTTATAGCGATTTTTCTGCGCGTTATCGGTTACGCGCGGGCGGCTTATCGGCGGCGCTCCATCCCGCGCGGGCAAGGCAGAGGTTGTTTCATCGCTAGGGCCTTATATTCATGCTGTAGGCTGTAATTGTCGATATTTTCTCCTCCCCCCACCCTTCCCCTGCAATAAATATTTGTTTAATACTTTGTTATACTGGGTATCCCAGACCACCCGTAAAAGGTCTTTTTCTCGGTTGGTCTAGGTAGTACGAAGTGGGGGGCCGCGGGATTGAATAGGGGATTGACCCCAAGGAATCTGAATTTCACGGTTCCGAAACCCCCCCATGCCCCTCTTGTGAGGTAAAGAGGGGGTCACGATCCCCAAAGTCGGGAGACATTGTGCCTCCCCCTTTTACCCCCCGAGGGTGGCTAGGGGGGCATCGGGACCATGAAATTCGGATTCCTTGGGGTCAATTCCCTTTTCAATCCCGCGGCCCCCCACTTCGTACTACCTAAACCATCCGAGAAAAAGACCTGTTACGGATGGTCTGGGATACCCTGTATAACGAAGTATTAAACAAATATTTATTGCAGGGGTAGGGTGGGGGGAGGAGAAAATATCGATAATTACAGCCTACAGCTTGAATATAAGGCCCTAGCGGTGAAACAACCTCTGCCTTGCCTGCGCTGGATGGAGCGCCGCCGGCGCCGATAAGCCGCCCGCGCGTAACCGATAACGCGCAGAAAAATCGATATAACTTACGAAAGAATCGTTTCCCCAAGATCAAACAAAGTGTGGTAGATGCAATTTTGAACTGATAATGACCTTACTGAGATAATGAGGAGGAAAATTTAGGGCAAATTGGCTTATTTTGAGGGAAAATTGAATGACCTTTGAATTGACGTATTTGGGGGTCCGAATCCCCCCTTAAAATTACTTCGAAGTGATTTCTGAAATTTTTACTTAAAAGCGAATACAACTTGGTAGATTTTTCCGTTTTATTTTTTTCTTTACGATGATTTGAACCGGAGTTTTGATTTTTTGAAAATAGGTCAAATTTGACCTTTGACCTATCATAACTCTGTCAAAAATTAAGATATTGTTCCGCGGTTTTCGCCAAAATTCTTAGTTTTTTATGTTCTTTCGAATGAGGTATCACTAGGTAAGGGTTGCTTTTTGAAAAAGAAGTTAGGGGGCTCCCGTCCCCCTCCCCCCTGAGGGGGGGACCAACATTTTGACCCCCCCCCCAAAAAAAAAAGATGGTCCCCTTTGAGATAGGAACATTCCCAAAGTTCATTTCCCTTGCTTACTTCGTTCAAAAGTTAGCAGGGGTGGGACGGTCTTTTGTTACACCCTGTATAAAAAAAAAAAATTGTATGAGTTCATTAATGAATTCTTATACCTGAAGTTAGAAAATTTTGAATACCTGGAAGACATTTGTTAAATCTCTTAGGTTGAAAGAGTAATGGAATTTTATTGCGGTGGGTAAAAATGTTTGAGACATTTTAGCATGCATCGTGAGCGCAAGTTGAACGATCAAATCCCCATGACGAATCACTGAGAGCGGAAATTTCTGATGATGACTATTCATATGTTGCTTTAAAATAGACGAGTATATGTGGTGTAAACATTCCGAACTCGGAAAGCTAAAACAGAGTTCATATACTTAAAAACAGATTAGATACTTGGTGCAAAATCTGATGAAAACTATAGATTCAAACGAAAGATGAGAAATTTAAATATATAACATTGATCAAAGGTGGACGTAATTCGGCGGTACGGCACCGTCAAATAAAACGTTTTTAGGGGTGCGTTACCTTAAAATAAAACCTGATTCGGCGGTATCATATCCTAACTGCAAAACCCTCTAAAATAGCACTCAGGGGACCTGACGTGATGAATTTTTGACCGCTAATCTGAAAAAATCCTACCGCTAAGGTGCCTTTACCGGATGGCTTTTTGTCCGCTTCCGGAAAACTACCTACCGCTAAGGAGCTTTCACCGAATGAGAAAACAAACGCCATCAACGGTGATTTATTGGTATTATCTATAGAAATTATGGTAATAAGGAAATCTTGGATCCGCAGGACAGTGAAAGTTTTTCGTGAACATCAAAGCACTGTAATATTCAAGTGCATTTACATTTGGCCTGATTGTGATGTTACACGCAACATGTACTGGACGAAATGATTACCGGTTAAAATCAAGTAGGAAACCTCAGGCAACCAACCCAATTTGGTAAAACTTTTTTGGTTACGTAGTAATGGCCGAACAATTCCTTGTCACTCCTAATTTTCTTATACAGGATGTCCCAAAAGTCCGTACCCCCACTCATAACTTTTGAACGGTTACAGATAGAAAAACGATACTTTGGGAATGTTTCAATCTTAAAGGGGACCATCTTTTAGAGGGGTCAAAATTTGTGTTCCTTCCTCAGGGGGAGGGGGGCGGGGGCCCCCAACATTTTTTTTTCAAATGGTAACCCCTACCTTGTGATACATCGTTAGGAAAAATTAAGAATTTTGGGGCAAACCACATATCAAAATCTTCATTTTTGACCGAGTTATGATAGATCAGAGGTCAAATTTGACCTATTTTCAAAAAATTATAACTCCGGTTCAAATTATTTTAAAGGAAAAAATAAAACTGATACTTCTCGGTATGAGATAGAAAACTGGTTTTCTTTCGCAGAATTAAGAAAAAATCACGTCGTGCCGAGGTCAATCCTCGATCGCTATTGCATATGACTGCAGCGCAGTCGCTTGCAAACGTATAATACCTAAACATCTGACAACTGAGCTCACAACAGCTCTATTTTGCCACTGATGAAATATCCGAATAACACACATTTCAACCACAGGGTGTCCCAAAAGTCCGTACCCCCCACCCCTCTCGTAACTTTTGAACGGTTAGAGATAGAAAAACGAAACTTTGGAAATGTTTCTACCTTAAAAGGGACCATCTTCTAGAGGGGTCAAAATTTGTGTTCCTTTCTCAGGGGGATGGGGGGGGGCCCCCAACATTTTTTTTTCAAATGGTAACCCCTACCTTGTGATACATCATTTGAAAGAACATAAAAAACTAAGAATTTCGGTGCAAACCGCAGATCAATATTTTAATTTTTGACCGAGTTATGATCGGTCAAAGGTCAAATTTGACCTATTTTCAAAAAATCAAAACTCCGGTTCAAATTATCGTAAAGAAAAAATAAAACGGGAAAATTCTCCAAATTTTAAGCACTTTCATGTAAAAATCACAGAAATTACTTCAAACTAATTTTAGGGGGGTTTCGGACCCCCAAATACGTCAGTTTAAAGGTCATACGATTTTCCCGTGATTTCAGCAAATTTCTCTTAGCTTTATCTTATAAAAAATGGAAATTTACACGGTTGAATTGAATCACCTTAAATTTCGTTTTTCGAACTTTGCTCAAAATTTGAGAACTTGAAAATGCAATTTTGAAGTAATTGTGAACTTACCAAGATAATGTTGAGGCAAAAAGAGGAGAAATTGGCTCAAATCGCGGGAATATTGTATGACCTTTAAACTGACGTATTTGGGGGTCCAAAACCCCCCTAAAATTAGTTTGAAGTAATTTCTGTGATTTTTACATGAAAGTGCTTAAAATTTGGAGAATTTTCCCGTTTTATTTTTTCTTTACGATAATTTGAACCGGAGTTTTGATTTTTTGAAAATAGGTCAAATTTGACCTTTGACCGATCATAACTCGGTCAAAAATTAAAATATTGATCTGCGGTTTGCACCGAAACTCTTAGTTTTTTATGTTCTTTTAAATGATGTATCACAAGGTAGGGGTTACCATTTGAAAAAAAAATGTTGGGGGCCCCCCCCATCCCCCTGAGAAAGGAACACAAATTTTGACCCCTCTAGAAGATGGTCCCTTTTAAGGTAGAAACATTTCCAAAGTTTCGTTTTTCTATCTCTAACCGTTCAAAAGTTACGAGAGGGGTGGGGGGTACGGACTTTTGGGACACCCTGTGGTTGAAATGTGTGTTATTCGGATATTTCATCAGTGGCAAAATAGAGCTGTTGTGAGCTCAGTTGTCAGATGTTTAGGTATTATACGTTTGCAAGCGACTGCGCTGCAGTCATATGCAATAGCGATCGAGGATTGACCTCGGCACGACGTGATTTTTTCTTAATTCTGCGAAAGAAAACCAGTTTTCTACCTCATACTGCTCGATTTTTATTTGTCAAATTTATCTGTTGTTATTTTTTTGTTCAGAGATTGAACCTATCTATGTCACCATTACGGTATGAAGTTTTCCGGTTTTTGGTGAGAAAGTCATCCGGTAAAGGCACCTTAGCGAAGGAAGTTTTCAGGTTAGCGGTCAAAAGTATATTCGTAGTAGTATCTTAGTGAAACTCAGAAAATTTTCAAGAAAGGATATGGTACCGCCGAATAACGTTTAATTTGACGATACACTGTTCCTCCGAATATCACTCCATTTGACGAAAGACTGTATCGTGGCATAACGTTTTATTTGACGATACCGTATTGCCGAATAACCATTTCGTTAGTTAAATTCTAATTCAACAAGTTTTGAATTTTAACGATAGTGAAGATTCCATTAGATGAAGTAATCTTATCGATAATGAGCTGGGTCGTTTGCTTAAAAATAATTTTGCACAAAAAAATTGTAGTATACGAATAAAAAGGTATAATTACAGAATAAACACACAACAAAATCCTCAGTTCTCAATACGATACATCGAAAATTGAATACGAATGATAACCGGATGAGAATAAGAATTGAACCCTGACAAAAATCGTCGTTCCTCTGACGTAACCCTAAAGGCTAGTCCCCATGCAGGTCCGTGCGGCGGAAGGCTATTATAGTCCCCGTCACCTCCCGTGAGCTCGTGCAGAGGGAAGCGAAACAAAGCAAAATTTCGGGAATCCCATCCTTCGCAGATGGTCGCATCCGCCGCACGGACCTGCACAAGGTGGACTTCCACTAGGGAAGGGCGTATCTCTATTTCCGAATGAGCTCTGGCAAGCGTAGAGCTGAACCGAACAGAGAGCTCACGTGAAAATTGAGATACGCCCTTACGTCAGAAGGACGGTGAAATAAACCATAGAGGCGATAGAGAAATCTTATGGCCGGCTGTAGGATTTTCTTTAGCTTTTCTGGCTGGCGATAGGATTTTCTTATCGCCCTTATGGCCGGCGATAAAAAGCTCTATCGCCATGTATGGCTGGCGATAGGAGTATCAATCGCCAGATATAGACACGAATGGCCGGCGATAGAACGCTCAGTCGCCGGCTATAGCCACAAATGGCCGGCGATAGCCATGAATAGCCAGCGATAGGACATTTAATAGCTGGCCATTTGTGGCTATCACTAGATTGTGCTGGTGGGATAACGGCAATAACCATCCGCTGCCAAGACAGCCATCTATAGCCGGCAACAGAATGTTCAGTATCCGGCGACTGGAAATACGCGTGTGCACGAGAAGCAATTAAATAAGTAATTTTTTTCAAAAATCATCAGCAGCGCCAGTGAATCTATCCTGAATTTTTTTCTATAAATATTTATCTTCAATTTTTTCTCAATAATTCTTACTTTTCCATTATTTGATTTGATTTGTTTTTTTTTCTTCTTACTTGAATCGGCCATATACACTGTTAAAAATTGTTGATTCCGTCCGACGGAAAATCTGGAGTGAGAACGAATAGGGGAGTGAGCTTCAGCGCATAGGTGCTGAGATGTGTTGCGTGAGTGCGCAAAGCACTCAGCACCGGAGCTTCGGTAGGGCCCTAAGTCATGCGCACCTCTCTCTCTGACACTAGCGCTATATACTGTCTCTTCTCCCCTTTAGGCCTACCGCTCCCAGAATGAAAATGAAAAATTTAAATTGAAAAAATAAATAAAATAATAGAATAGTGGAAATAAAAGAATAGTAGAAATAATAGAATAATAGAGACAACAGAAGAGAAATAAAATAAAGTAAATCAAAATATGATAAAATGAAGTCAACGACTTAATTGAAGTAAAAAATTAAAGGAGGCAAGGAGATGAGGTAAAAAAATGAGATGAAGAAAAAAAATATGAGAGAAAAAACTATATGAGGTTAAAGATTAGAATTAATTTAAAGAGTAAACTGAAGTCAAAAAAATTATGATGAAGTATTAAAATAAAATACAGTAAAACATAAAACAAAGTAAAGGAATAAGAAGGAAATAATTAAAGAAAAAATGAAGTGCTTGAAACAATGAAATAAAGTGAAGAAAAAAATAGAGTCAGCACGGAAATAAAACAAAGTAAAATGATAAAACCAAGTTAAAAAAATATAGTAAAGTAAAAAGTAAAATAAATACCCGGACAATCCCAGGCAGATTAAAAATATCCTAGTTGCCCGTTCAAATCGACGTTAAATATCTGGTATAGCTGGTATTATAGCTCAATCGGTAGGGTCTTCGGTTAGTGATAGGTAAGTCCCGGGTTCAAACCTCAAGGTAGGTACAACATTTCTAACTTTCAAAATCGATTAAATCACATGATGGTGAATTATTATTTTTATTTTTCAAAGTTCCAAAAATTATTTCCACAATTAACCCTTTTCCACCAACCCCTAGCTGCGAACCCCTAAATTTTCTATAGCCGCCGATTGAGAATGCCTACAGCCAGCCATAGAAATTCTCAATCGCCGGCTATAGAAAATTCCTATTGCCAAAAGGCCATGTTTCAATTTACCATAGGATTTTTCCTATGGCCGGGCTATAGGTAATTTGCATGGCTTATTTTTGACCAGTTTAAAAACTGGTCAAAAATGAAAGCCTTCATTAATCTGTCAATTTAGGGGAGATCACTATTAGTCAATTTCTTCGATAGTCCTGGGTGGAATCAAAACATTCATCGTGGGACAAGTCTCAGCTAAATTTCATGATAATTGCAATTAATACCTCAAACATTCTTTGGGGAAGGAGACTGATAATTTGCAAGAAAAACTATAAGGAAACAATAAAGATAATAGACATTGGATACTAACCTGGTGGCGAAAACAAAGAAGTGTCGTTGTAATCGTGGATCGATCGTAAAACTGCCAGCAGTTGGGTTCATGCATGCAAAGAATAGTATATTGTGAATATCTTTCAAAGTCAATTTGCTTCTGTCATACCAATGCTGGTAGTTCATCCACTGTCTAATTAAAGTGTGAGGTTGAACAGTGCCATGGCGATCAACCTATAATAATGAAATTTCAACAGATCAATAAGAGTAACATCTACTGAAATAGCAATCTTGACCATTTTAGCGCTAGAAATCTTTTTTAACGCAGGATGCAGGGACTCGATTGACTTGAGACCTTTTCTAACGTTACTAGGATATGCCTCTTGAACATTTGGAACCAAAAATTACTAATTTTGTGCGAATATCATTAAAGCGTGCGAGTAAACCGTTGCCGAAATAGCCATGTTGACCGCTTTGGTGCCAAACAAAAAACATTTTTTTTTTGGTGAGACGCACCAAACCTTAGGGCTTGATTTTTTTTTTTTTTGGTAACAACTAGGTATATTATGTACACTTTAAAGCAAAAGAGTTCAAACTGTTAAGAGCTGGTGTCCCTTAAGGATCAGTTCTATCACCCTTACTGTATAGCTTGTTCACAGCAGATATTCCAAAGCCTCGAGGAGACTCTGAGCTGGGAGTGTTCGCGGACGATACATCAGTGTTCGCGAGCGCCCCAACCTGCGAGAAAATTGTGGACATGCTGCAGGGAAGTCTGGATGATATCCAGGGATAGGCGTATGCTGACGGGTCCAAACTAGATCCTACTAAATCTGAGAATGTGGTTTTCACACTTAGGAACTATGTTCATATTCCTTCGGTGCTAAATGGACAACCAATTCCTCAGTTCAAAGCAGCCCGTTACCTCGGCCTTGTCATGGACTCAAAATTAAACTTTAGTGAATACATCAACCGTAAGAAAAAACAAATTGAACTTAAATTAATTAAAATGTATTGGTTAATTGGAAAAAAAATCTAAACTCAGCCTTCATAATAAACTTTTGTTATATCAAACCATGATAAGGCCGATTTGGGCATATTCCTGTCAGTTGTGGGCCTGCGACGCCAATTCGAACATATGGAAGATGGAAACGGTCAAAAACAAAGTCTTAAGATAAATTGCTAATGCACTGTGATACACGAGGAACGAGGATCTACGATCGGAGCTCGGGATAGAAAGTTTGGACGTTTTCATCTCCCGTATGTACGGAAGGTATGAAGAACATCTGGAATCTCACCCCAACCCGGAAGCAATTAAGCTCCTGGACTGGGCAGGGGAGACGCAGACGTTTAAAGCGCAGAAAGCCACATGAGCTTTGCACATCTGACTTCGGCCAAATTTTGTTAACGCACCCTCTATCTGATGGGCACTGTCAGGGACGAGTTCTATAGGACGCCGTTCTGTTGTGAGCGGGTGATTGCAGCGCATTCTCGCGTACGATCCTAGTCAACTCAGAGGATCCTTCCCCCCGAACCTCGACTCATCCATCGCCCGCTCCAAAAGTGAGGTTAAGCCGGAGATTGAAAAATAACACATAAGGCGGCTGAATTCTTGAAAAAGAAGTATATTTTTGGCGTTTTTCGACCCCTTTCGACAAGGAAGGGCCTCGCTGCATGTAATTGTATGGTGAAAAATTCGATTTTTTGCAGTTATACGCGATCCTACGGATTTTAATGAAGTCCAACAACTGATAACAGCAGTGAGTTGCGAGGATCCTACGCGAGATAGCAGCACTAGTACCTGCTCACGAATTTTTACATTGACTCTTACGGGAGTCCAGGGTCCTATAGAACTGGTCCCTGGCACTGTTCTCCTCTATCTTTGTCGGCAAGAGATCATCCCAATTTTTAGAGACAAAAGTAGCTTGTGAAATAGATTACAGTATTTCATGTTTTTAGAGTTAGATTTTTTTTTGCACTTTTTGCCAAGGCTCTTTCTTATTTTTATTATCTCTTTAACTACTCATCTGACCTTATTAATCCTATTCTCCATTTGACTTAACTAATTTATTTTTCGTAGTTACTTGTTATCAGTTCTCTTTCCATAGTTAATTTTACAGTTTTTATCCCTGTAATTTAAATACCAATCATACTTTTCCCACAACTAAATTTACTTTATAGTCATATACTTACAATAGTCCTTTAAAAAGTGCCTTTTCAATCAATTTGTAGGTACACACCTTTATATTACAATATTATAACAAAGTGTGAAAAGACCTTTCAGGTCTGAACACCGAACTGTATTTTATATTAACTTGTATAAAGTACTAAATAAAAAAAAGCTTTAAAGCAAAAAAGAAGTATGTTTTCTCATTTTATTATGAATCGCTAAAATCTGAAACAATAATTGAGAATTTAGAATGTAATAGTTTGATGAATTTGATTTTTTTACCTGAGAATTTGGTTAGTCTGATGTATAGTGGGTGAGATTTTGGTTCATTCTTATCGAGAACCCCGGGAGAAATGAAATAAATCGTGAAAATACCAGAAAATGGGTTTTTTGGGGCTTGAAAAGGGGAGGGGGTGATTGGGGTCGGGTGGAAAAAATTGCCCAAAACCATATTTGACAGACCTACCGAAAGGATTGAGACCATTAATTTCAAAATCCCTAAGGTGGGAAATTTGTGTGCCCTCACCTTAGGATACCCTTTAAAAAACTAAAATGCCCAGCCTTGTTTTTGCTGTTTATTTTTTTTATTAAATCTCCCCGGAGCTTCCTCTAACCGGTCACGGCTGCCTACAGTTCGATTCCCTAGAATGTTTTCCCATTAAACCTTCAAAAATACAACTCCAAATTCTTTCAACATCCCTGCGCTTAACAGGATTGAGACTGTTCATTTAGGAGTGCCGGCCGGCCAATTGCGGGCCCGCGAAGGAGTAATGTGAATACAGCATCTGAAAAGGGGGAAATGGAGAGGCACCCGAAATAAAGGGAAAATGAGAGATTAAATTAAGGTAAAATTGTTTTATATTTAGACAGTTATTTTTTCTTCGCACGAATGTGCTAGGTATACTTTTTGAGGAAAAGATCGAGCGTGTTATTCTTAAGTCGTGTACTGCTGAGGGCGTGACTTTTTGCGAAGAAAATGGTGAGGAGCGTAGTTGTAAATGGATAGCAATGTGAAGGCTGTGTAAAACAATGTAAAGGCAAACAATTATCGCCAGCATGAATCTCATTCATCACTGGGTAGATTCAAGTGGACGCCATATGTCAATATAGAATCGCAGGTCACGTGCTCTGGAGTGAGTCATCCAAGTCTCGACCGAAAGAAAATAAAAGGGTTCATAAAGAGGCCACGGAAGAAAACCAATTTTCGAATAAATTCTGATTAACATGGACCGTTTACCGAAAGACTGTTGGTCATCATATAGGTAACATTTTTCTTTGATCAAAACGGAGTGTCAACTGCCACCACTCATTATAGTCAAGGAGAAATACGAAAAAAGGGGGTTAGCCCGGAACAAATTGCTTAATAAACGTTTCCTATTTAAACGTCATCAGTAGGTCCTCCTGAACAACATACTAAACTGGAAATAAGTAAATGAAGTGAAAATAAATAAGTGGATATAGTTTTTCAACGAAAGTGGAAGAATATGTGGTAGATATTGAGTCGTCAATAAAACATTTAGATTGGCACCACCAAGGAGAGATAAGAAGGAAATGCCTTCCCGTTTTACAAAAAATCAAAATTAACAAGGACAAAAACACTTGGTTAAGTAGGAAACACACATTGATAGTGAAGAAATTAAAACAGAAAGGTCTGTATATAACAAAATCAGACAAAGGCAATAAAGTGGTGATAATGGATAGAGAAGACTATATTGACAGATGCATGGAATCATTAAAAGGAAATGAGTTTGAACATATTTAGAAAAACCCCATCAATTTCTTACAAAAAAGAGGTAGAAACTGCATTAAGAAATGTGTCTTTAATAATGTGTGATAGTGAAAAATCGCATTTATTAAACAAAAAACCTTCCCTCCCCCATATGTATGCCAACCCGAAAATACATAAACCAGGGAGAAAAATGAGACCGATCATAAATTGTAGGAGTTCGCCAATGTATAACCTCGCAAAATGGCTTGTCAATAGATTCAAACTGTTTGAAAAGTATAGCTCAAAAATTGTAAAAAATTCGAAGGAAGTAGCTGAAAAACTTGTACAGTATAACATTGAGAAAGATGAGAGATTGGTATCTTTTGACGTGGTCTCTCTGTTCTCTAGTGTCCCAGTAGATAAATCAATCCGACTATTGAAAGACTGGTTGACAGATAACAAAGTTAGTGAGGAAAGGATAAGAGAATACTTGGAACTCGTAAACATAGTTGTCAGACAAACGGCCTTTTCTTTTAATGGCATGATGTACCAACAATGACAAGGATTAGCAATGGGAAATCCCATATCACCATTTTTAGCTGATATTTTTATGAGCAATTTGGAAGTGAAAGTGATCCAGAAATTCCCCCACATTTACCGACTATGGGACCGTTATGTTGATGATGTTTTCAGTGTACTAAAAGAAAAATATCTGAATGAAGCATTACAAATCTTGAACAAACAAGACGACTCAGTTAAATTCACAATAGAAATCGGAACAGAAGGAGAATTACCATTTTTGGACTTGTTAATTCAAAGAACCGACAATCAACTCAATGTCAGCATTTACAGAAAACCAACAAGTTCGGAGGTATACATAAATTTCAACAGTTACAATCCGGTGTCCCACAAGTTAGCAGCGTTTAGATATCTATTTAACAGGCTAGAGGATATTCCCTTAAGCAAAGAAAAATACATAGAAGAGAAAAATCGGATTGTGGATATTGGGAAGAAAAATGAGTTCCCGGAAAAATGCCTCGAAAAATTACTGGGAAAAATTAAAAGGGATAAAAACAATACAACCCTGTCAAAAATGGAAAAACGGAGGGAACATACAGAAGTTTCACCTACCACCCAAAATATTGGCCTAGTTTCAAACGTATTTTCAACTCATACAATATAAAATTGTGTTTCTATAATCCATACTGATCCCAAAGACAATTCGGCAAAAAAATAACAAATGAGACAGACAGGTTACAAAAAGCAGGAGTATATAAAGTACAATGTAAAAATTGCCCTAAAGTTTACATAGGAAAAACGTCGAGATCCATAAAAATTCGAGCTCAAGAACACGCCAGACACACCAAAAATCAAGCGATAGAAAAAACAGCAATAGCAGCACATTTTTGGGAAGAAAAACACGACATAGATTTTGAACCTCAATTACTAAAGGAAGAACAGAATGTCAATAGACTGACATGTTGGGAAAATATCTTGATCCAAAAGCAAAAGAAAGACCACCTGATGAATGTAGAATTTCCGCCGCCTAACACATTATTTAAGTTGTTCGAAACATCTGGCAACAAGGAAAACAAAGGAAGGCACAGCAACCGCCGCATATCCGAAGATTAGAGTACCTATATTAAGAGAGTATAGCCACTGGGTCCCATGGAGAGGCTTAGGACCCAAAAATGGCGGTGCTTTGTTTTGGTTTTTGATGATGGGAGGGCGGTCAATGTCAACTTTTGACGGTTATCACCAACCGCACTTGCTGCCAACCTTACTACATCTAAGATCATTTTTCTCAAAAATTGCACACGATTAGCCTTAAAAATATGTAAAAAAGTCGCAATAGTGCATTTGGGTAAAGTTCTCGTTACGATAAGCAAAGACAACTACATTTTGAATCATTTTGCATTACATTAACTTTATGGCGTCCGCCATTTTTGGGTCCTAAGGGCTCCATTCAGCCTAAGATGGCTGAGCCAATCAGAGGTGGTAACTCCAGTGGCCATACTCTCTCAATATAGGTACTCTACCGAAGATCATGCCAGTCGCGCCCTGATGATGACCCAACGGGTCGCAACGCGCGTCGGACGGTAATTTTGCTGTAATTTCGCTGACTAGTGAGTTTTTTTTTAAATTTTTTTTTTTAAAATTTTTAAAATTTTACTTCATTTTTTTTTAATACTAAACAAGCGGAAAGCCCGTGACTGAAGTCAGGGGTCTAGATGCTTTACCAAAAATTATTAATTTAATAACGGGGAGCATTAGGCCGTTATTGTTTCGGGGTTGATACCACTATTCGACCACATGGAAGCTTGTTTTGCCTGAGAGAGCGTGCCATTTCACGACGATACCGCTATTCGACCACGCGGAAGCTCCTGTTGCCTACACTAAAATTGAAGGCGAAATGAAATGACGTTAATTAATCCTCTCCAGTTTGGTGAAGTGCTATTTTTAAAAACGATCCAAGTAACCGTGCACTTTCATAGATTGGCACTAACCGTCACAGCTGTGCCCGTAGTACGTACGTGCGAAATTCGATTTTAAATTCCTGTGGAAACTAGTAAGACTATAATACATATTATAACTCTTGAATCCTGCAAATTTTGGGGACTTCCAGTTTCACCTTCAATAAGCTCCACAGGAAAAAACATTATTTTTAGGGGGACGGAGAAAAAATGGGGGGGATTGATTTTGGAAGAAAAATCTTTTCGGGGGG